TGACACTTTGTGTTGCTTCAGTCACCTGCTCACGGCTCACCCCCCTAAAATTTCTGGCACCACCCCAGTAAAAAATATGAAAATCCGTCTATGGTCAGTATAACATTGTAAAACAAGCTTAGTAAAAACAATATGCACTGAATATTTATCAGAATAACTCTCAATATTGTTTCATGAAAGAGAAGCGATATAATGCCTTGTCCCTAGGTTTCGGTTTGCGAATTTGTTCAGTCTTTTCTTAATAGCCTAGAAGTCAGACAAGCCCAGAACAGAATAAAGCATGCAAGCTTTTAGCCCCCCCCCCCTTTTAGTATTCGTCTTTATATGAATACTATATTAATTTACATTAAAAAGTCAACAAGGATACAAAATACATGACACTTTTATCTCTACATTGCCGCAATTCTGAAGCTTTGCGTTGCTCGGTTTTACAAACGGGAAGTGTAGTTTATGGAAGCTTGTCAATCACTTAATTTAAATCGGTTATCAACCAATCAGAGCTTTGCGTCCAAATATTGGACGCATGCACGTAACTATCATAGGGATCCTTGCAGGCTCTCTTTCACCCAAAGAGCCTGCTCGCAGGCTAGTTTAATACTCGCTTTTGTTTCAAAGATAAAAAGGGCATTTGAGTTTACAACATTGTGTGTTTAATAGTGTCGTGGCCATATAAATTGTATTATATTCATTTGTGCTATTTTGCCTATAATTTCAACTATGTAATCGCAAAACAGTAACACTGCCACTGGAAATGTTTCGTGATATGTTGTTCGTTTTGGTATTTTCTTTATGAATCAGCTGTGTATAATAACGACATGTGGTATAAATATTACAGGGTTCCCACCTAGGAACTGGAAAAATCTTTACTACTCTAAACATGAGGAAAGCAACAATGTCATGTACTATATTTTCATTGTTCTTAATACAGTACAATTGTTTTGGACTATCATACTTAATTTTTATTGAAATTGAAGAAAATGAGTGATTTAAGAACTGAAAGAAAATTCCAGGACTTGCAAGGACCTTATCAATTTTCAAGGACTTTCCAGGCCTGGATTTTTTGTTCAAATTCAAGGACTTTCCAGGATTTTCAAGGACCATGAGAACCCTGATTTTAACCATGATTGACTGAAACATAGCTTTATTTTTTAGGAAAAGACATTGAATAGAATGGAAAATCTATAGATGCTGTTTAGAATTTTATAGTAGCTTCATATTTATTAGTCATATTCTTTAAAAAAAAAGTGGCAGACACAGGGCCATACCGAGCAGGATGGGTGTGGGGAGGGGTATGATACCCTCACTTTCTGAAAAACTCTTTGTTAATTAAACCTAGATTATGTTGAAAAATGTGACTTGTCAAAAATCTTTTCCAAGATGGCGGCGAAACTGGCCGAAACACAAAGTTTGCATGCATTTTGCTCATAGACTAAAATGTTCAAGAAGGAAATGGTAATATTTTCATAGTTCAGTTGTCAAGTAGGATTGAAATAGCCAATAAAAATTTTCGTTGCCATTGTCCTTGAACTTTATTCATAAACTAATTCAGTGACAATATCATACACACACATTACATAATTTTTTTTTAAAATAAACTTGGTACTTTTAAAAATGTTGGAAGCGAAACCAGGATTCATAATTAATTGTGTAAACTAGGACTGTTCGGTATACCGATATACCGAAAATATCGGTATTAAATCAATATCGGTATATCGATACCGGATATTCAACCATACCTATATGCCGAAATTTCGGATATACCAGAATTTTTCTGGATACCGCGTTAAATTTACCAACTATATGGCGAAACCATAACCTTTATTTTACTACTGAATGGCAATTCATAGAACTTTCTACTGCAATGATTTAGAATTTCCACTTCAGTGAGATTTTACACTGAGTACGTGTCGTTCGAAACAGCTTCGAAATTATCGTTTTCCCATTTAGAATTACTCAAAATTTCCTTCAAATTTCCATTAAAGAATTTTCCTTTATAATTATCAAAGGAAAACCGGTATACCGATAATATCGGTATAATTTTTTCGGTATACCGATACCGGAAATTTCTCATACCGAACATTCCTATTCCCTTGTCAATTTTCCGTTTTTAAAATCAATTCTGTGGTCGTTTGTCCACGCATGGTTCGCAATATTTGACAATCAGTGACAGACACTTGAAAAAATATTTGACAGATAAATTTTTGTTACTGAGTTTCTTCTGTCATTCAGTTGCTTCATATCAATTCTCAGAATTGTCATCCCTCAAAATTTATGTTAACCTTTTTTTGGATGAAACTCTATCAGAGATAAATGTAATGGTGTGACTCAGCACGGCAGTAAGAGTTGGGCAGTGGCAGAGCTACTAAGCCAGAGCAACTGGTCTTGCTATACAAATTTTTAGCAATTTTACAGTCAATTTCAGCTGACTTTTCATCGTAAGATTCCGAACTTCGCAAATTCGTTGCCAAGTTCAAAAGTTCATAATGAAATTCACAAACAGGTTTGTAAACTGGGCATTTGATTGGCTGGTTTGATTTAATAGCCAATCAGAGGCTTTGTTTACAAACCTGTTTGTGAATTTCATTATGAACTTTTGAACTTGGCAACGAATTTGCGAAGTTCGGAATCTTACGATGAAAAGTCAGCTGAAATTGACTGTAATTATTCAATTATTTAGAAATTTATTGTCTTTGGACTGCTTAAGTTTGCATTTATTACCACAGCACAACCATTTGCTCTGGTTAGCTCCGCCACTGATTAGACTGATAAGGAGTCGCCCCAGTTTACCCTCCCTAATGTCACTGACATACCAAGACCATTCTGGGTGGGGGGATGGTCCTATACAGCCTTTTCGTGTTACGGGCTAACTCAACTCTTTTATCCATTTACTGACTAGTTTCAATCAATATACCAACAAGTCACATTTTTCAACATAATCTCTGTTTAAAAATGAAAATTAAAGCCCAGCAAATGACTTTCAGACAAGACATAACAAAATATAAAATTTATTGGCTAACGTTTCGTTGTATTGTTTACAACACCTTCAGAGCAATTAAACTTATTTACAAGCGTGTATTTTATATATATACAAATAGTTTCAAACGGTTACAGTATTCTGCAAATAAGCGAATAAGAGGAAGGATGAAAAACAACCTGTCATTAAAAGTGATAGTATTAGTAAATTAAAGAAATAATGTTTAGTAATTAGAGACCTAGCAATTAGCATTAGAATAGGTCAAGAGGAGTTGACCTAATGTTATTTCTTTAATTTACTAATACTATTACTTTTAATGACAGGTTGTTTTTCATCCTTCCTCTTATTCGCTTATTTGCAGAATACTGTAACCGTTTGAAACTATTTGTATATATATATATATATAATACACGCTTGTAAATAAGTTTAATTGCTCTGAAGATGTTGTGAACAATACAATGAAACGTTAGCCAATAAATTTTATATTTTGTTATGTCTTGTCTGGATGTCATTTGCTGGGCTTTAATTTTAATCATTTTTAAATTACGCTTTCCACCCGGTGTATAATCTCTGTTTATTAACATTAACAAGTTTTTTAGAAAGTGGGGGTGTCCTACCCCTCCCCACACCCATCCAGTTCGGTATGGCCTTATGGCTGCCACTCCTTTTTGAAAGATTATCGCCCGTATTCTAAAAGCTCACTCAATGAGTGGAGGTTCAATCTGAGCTTTTCTCGAGTGTCATTGCTGTTTTTGAATAGCTGGAGGGCTGGTGTCGTACCTTACTATGTGACTGCTCACCACCCAGCTATTCAAAAACAGCATTGACACTCGAGAGAAGCTCAGATTGAACCTCCGCTCATTGAGTGTGAGTGAGCTTTTAGAGTACGGACGTAAGACTAATAAATATCAAGCTACTATAAAATTCTAAACAGCATCTATAGATTTTCCATTCTATTCAATGTTTTTTCCTAAAAAATAAAGCTATGTTTCAGTCATGGTTAAAATCAGGGTTCCCATGGTCCTTGAAAATCCTGGAAAGTCCTTGAATTTGAACAAAAATTCCAGGCCTGGAAAGCCCTTGAAAATTGATAAGGTCCTTGCAAGTCCTGGAATTTTGTTTCAGTTGGGTTGGTAATAATTCAAGGATGCTTAAATCACTCATTTTCTTCAATTTCAATAAAAATTAAGTATGATAGTCCAAAACAATTGTACTGTATTAAGATTTAAGAACAATGAAAATATAGTACATGACATTAGGGCCATTTAAACGAGACAAAATAAGTCGCGACTTACATAAGACGCGTCTTATATAAGCGGAGTTATCGCATAAATGGTTCTCTACGACTTTGTTCTTATTTACTTGCTATAGCTATAATGTTGTTTCGGTTGTTTTTGTTTTAATATGCAAGGCTGATAATTTTACGTTGTTTCAAGTTTCGGGCATGTGTAGTTACAATTTTTGTCCAAAATTTCTTTTTTAAGACGCGACTTAAATAAGAACAGCTAAACGTCCTGTTCTTACGCGTCTTATCCAAGACGCGTCTTACATAAGAATTTTGTACCTTTTATACGGCAAACTCGCGTCTTATTTAAGTCGCGTCTTATGTAAGTCTCGTCTTATTTTGTCCCGTATAAATGGCCCTATTGTTGCTTTCCTCAAGTTTAGTAGTAAAGATTTTTCCAGTTCCTAGGTGGGAACCCTGTAATATTTATACCACACGTCGTTATTATACACAGCTGATTCATAAAGAAAATGCCAAAACGAACAACATATCACGAGACATTTCCAGTGGCAGTGTTACTGTTTTGCGATTACAGAGTTGAAATTATAAGCAAAATAGCACAAATGAATATAATACAATTTATATGGCCACGGCACCACTAAACGCACATGTTGTAAACTCAAATGCCCTTTTTATCTTTGAAACAAAAGCGAGTATTAAACAGTTATGGCTTACGGTGTAGAATACAATAGTCTTCAGTAATTTGCACCATGATAAGGAGAAAATCCAGAAGTACTTTAGGGACCGGTCATTAAATATGGCAAGGGGAATGGAGGAGAAAGTAGGGGGGTCCTGAATTATTTTTTCATTGAGATGGGGGGGGGGTCTTAAAAATTACATTATGTGAAAGATGGGGGTCTTCGGATTTTTCCCAACAAAAGGATTGTTTCTCGTTATATACTATGAACAGCCAAAAGAGATGCATAAAATGCCCTTTAAACTGGAACACTGGGTATTAACATAACGAGTCAAGCATAAAAACATAATATAAAAGTGGATGTAGGCGAGACAAGCATAGGCCATAGAGTATTAATAAACCTACCTACAGGATGTTAGCCAGGCGGCCGTCCGACCGTCCTACGGACGGCCACTTCTGAACTCAGACGGCTAAAATTTAATGGACGGCCTAAGGGAATATTTTCTTTAAATAGCAATTTACAATTGAATTGTTGTTATCTGCTGTTTACTTTACGTATGGTATATGTTCTCATACTTTTTCCTGTCGAAAACACGTTGAATATAGTTGAATTGAAGTATCGACAATGTTTTTGTAATCATGTTGATAACAGAATAAATATCGTATTCTGTGATGTTGATGATTCTCGCATGAAGTATCAAGGGGAATAATTCGAAACCGTTGTTTAAAAAAAAAACAAAAAATGCTTTATCCTTGTGCGCCACATGCTTTAGAGTTACAGTACACTACGGTTCATACCATATGTGTGCTTTTACTAATTTAATGACGGAAATGTGCATCTAAAACTAAAAGTAAGAAGATTCAACGAATAGAACACCACAATTCCACAACATAAAATTGCGGCCACACCCAAAAACATGTGACCACACCCACAAAATTATTTTGGACGGCCACTTTTGAAATCCTGGCTAACACCCTGCCTACCTAAATAGATTGTAAAATATTTATTTAACTAGTTTCATCAAATTTTATACCTCTTTTAATTAATGCTCTTCATTGATCACTTGCTCTCCTAAGCTTTGTCCTAATTGGGCCAGCCATCAATACAAAACTATATTTTCAAGCGGTACAAGAGGGGGGTGGGGGTCTTTAAAAAGTATAAAATGCATAAGGGTGGGGGGGGGCTTGAAAAAGCATATAATTTTTGAGGGGGGCCCCGAACTTTTTTTAAAAAATATCTAGTTTCTCCTCCACCCCCCCCCCCTGCCATATTTAATGACCAGTCCCTTAGTATTATAATCCTCATCATTATTAAACTCGTAGACAGCATAAACCACAACTCGGGACCATATTAAAACATGCCACTCTTCAAACAAATTCTAGAGCGATATGTAAGCGTAACAGGCAACAACTTAATCATAAGACACTCTTCTTTCATAAGAAGCACAAACAATCATGATCGCGTTGCGAAAACGGCTCATATTTACAAAATATTTACTTCGAAATCACATTTCTCCATATTACGCCATAATAATTATCGCTCCTTTGGGTACCCGCAGTGTGACCAAGTTTTTTCAGGGGCAATTACCACATCCCGCTGCATGAAATTACCACATATTTTCCCCCAACATTGTTGGCGAGGGGAGGGGGAGGGGGTCAAAAAAATTTTCTGGACATCCACCAGTTTAATTAAGGTTCATAATAATTTTTTCCAACAAATTCCTGTTGGGCAAACATGGGCAAAACCCTTTTTTTTCCACCAAAATCTGTAAAATTTAGGTCTGGAAATTTTAGGCCTGGACAAGTACCAAAAATAGCTGACTCAATGGACCTTTAACCTACAGTTTGAAAGAGCATCACAAAATTAGTAATATTCCAAAGTTTCGTTGCGAAATGTTGTAAAATGCGGATAATATAGCCTTGCGAAGTTTGCAATTTTCAGTCATTTTAGATTACAAACGGGAAATTGATACCCAAACACCCACAACCATAAAATAGATTTTAATAGCGAGCACAGAGAAACACTTGAATTGTGGCACACTGCATGCCCAATTCAGAACATTTACCGGAACAATACCGCTTTCCACTTAGCAAAAACTATGAATCTACGTACATGTAATTGTAAACCATGAAATCCACCCTGGTAAATCTGTGAGTTATTTAAATAACTCGAATCAAGAGGGATTGTAGTCACAAATTGTTACAGAGGACCGATTTTTTAAGCTCTAGATCAACAAAATAAAGGTTTGATACCTGTGAGTTCCAACACTTTCCCCTTGACGAGTAAAGTTAACTGGTGTCAAACGCAGTAAAATAATAAAGTTGGGTACAGCAATGACGTAACCAGAATTTCTAGTCAAGGGGTCCGCAGGCCTTAAAATATCGGTCGGTCACGGACATTGTCTGACCCATTCGTGAAATTGTCCGACGTAGAGAGGAAACCACCGGACATTCTGTCCGACCAAAGTGAAATTGAGGTTTATTGTTTGTCCGACCCAAGTGAACTGGTGTCCGACCGAACTGTAGCTTTGTCCGACGTAAATCAAAATGTACCCTAGCCCAGGACTAGAGGCTTGTATGTTAATGAAAAATCAGAGTACCATTGTATAAAAGATGAACTGGAATTGTTGTTTTAACGTAGAAATGGTGAAGTGGAAAACGGGCTTAAGTTGTCGAAGTCTTTTTTAACACTGCGCAGCTGTTCTGGCAAGCAAGTTAATTTTGGCTTGGAAATAAGTATGAAAGAAACAAATTATTTAACATCTTTACAACATTTACCGTTTATTCATTTGTGTCATTCAGACTCATTTCCGAGCCAAAACTGAACTGAAGGTCATCGGCCATATGTCCGACCCAAACTCAGCATCACCGGACATTTTGTCAGACGGCCCTGTAAAAGATATTTTAAGGCCTGGGTCCGAAAAAATGCCAGGAACGACCTAAGTAATTTTACATTCCGAACATAGTTTGTTTATTGTGTGAAAATGTATTTGGACTCCCAGGCTAGCCATGCGCAATATACACACATAAAAACGCACAAGTTGTAACAAGTCTGCCAACAAGCCGTCAACAAGATGTATTCGCACTGCTTGTCACAAGTTGTCAACATGTTTGGAACAACTTGTTGACAACTTGTAACAACCTTGTCGGAGTTATCAGACTTGTTGCAAGGTTGTTCTGACAAGTCTGTTACATGCTTGATATAACAAGATTGTTACAACCTTGTGTTGACAACCGTGTAACATCCTTGTTATATCATGGCTGTAACAAACTTGTTAGCACAGTCTTGTAACAAGGCTGAAAATGCCATCAAGCTTGTTACAAGTTGTTAACAGCTTGTTTCAAACATGTTACAACAAACTGGGAACAAGCAATGCCGAAACACAACTTGTTGACAGCTTGTGAACAGACTTGTGACAGCTTGTTTGCAGGCTTGTTACAACTTGTGCGTTTTTACATGTGTAGTTAACTGAACTTTTAGAGATTGTCCAAGGGTATGCCAGGAAAATAGTTTAATTCTGAGTGCGCTTACCAACATTTTGGGGGCAGTTTATTGTGAATGATATAAGTCTTCTTACTTCCTGATGATAAGAAATTTCTTGTTGATCATTGATCGGTGTAAACTAAAATATTACTATTCACATACACATGTCGGCATCACATACACATGGTTTTGACATGCATTTCACAAACCTTACCAATTTTGCCAGGATTGTAGATCAGGGGGCGGTTGTTCAAAGGTGGATTAGCGCTAATCCAGGTTTAAAATTTAACCCACTGTTTTAGTTTGCATATTTCCGCATGTCCCATTTATTTCAAAATGTCAGAAAAGAAAATTTCTATTCATCCAGACATAGTTTGTGAAGAAAATTTCCAAATTTATAAACAAACTGTTAGGAAGTGTACTTTGAATTTTAAGTTAACCTAGGGTTAAGCTAATCGGCTTTTGAACAACCGACCCCAGGATAAGTTTTCGAAAAAGAAACGACAACAGAATAGCTAAGTCAAACTTTGATTTTATTCTCTCCTTTAAAAATTAAATATGTACAGTAGTGATATGTGTATTAATTTACTAATGCATTTGACAACACTCACCAAGTTGATGCCAGGCTTTTTTCAAACTAGTACTGTACACCAACATTTAAATGTTTAACTAGAGACATTGTCAGATTTTTTGGTTAATTTAACCCATTAAGCTGCAGAGCTTCCCCATTGACGAATAAATCGTCTGGTGTTAGACAAGTAAAAAAAAGTAGGGCGCACTGGGGCACATTGTGGCTCAATGGGTTAACTAGTGACATTGTCAGATTTTTTGGTTAACCCATTAAGCTGCAGAGCTTCCCCATTGACGAATAAAATCGTCTGGTGTTAGACAAGTAAAAAAAAGTAGGGCGCACTGGGGCGCATTGTGGCTCAATGGGTTATTAAACATCAGATTCTTTTTCTCTGGCTAATGCCAGGATATTTTATTCTGCCTACCACCAGACGATTTTACTTGTCAATGGGTTAATCAGATGATAATATGATGATGATATCTGGCAATGTATTCTGTTATTGGATTAATGTCCAAGACCCTTCCCTTGATATCATTGGCCATTAGTTAGAATACAAAAATAAAGTTGGGAGCATTGCAGCTTAATCAGTTAATCTTATTCATTTTAGACAACAGCAGTTGAACTATGTGACACAGGAACTGTTATCAATGTACACAAGCCAATCAAGTCTATCCTTGGACAACCAAAAACATTTCGCCAACATGTTGTCATTCTTGGACGTGTTCATTTGGATTTGCAGATGAAGTACTTAAAAGGTCAGTTTAATTAGTTTGTATCATATTAACTATAGGGGTGCACCGGAACCAATTTTTTAAGTTCCAGCCGGAACCGGATCCGACCGGAACTGGAAAAAAGTTCCGGCCGGAACCGGAACTAATTTATTAAGCCATATATAGTCATATGTTACTTTGTCCGCTGCCAGACAGGCAGACACTTCAAGTCATCAACGAGAGAGCTCGCAAATGTTAGAATAAAAAGATTGACAAACGTTAAACGTCATAATGAAGTGTTAATAGTGTACATTTCCCTTTCGCAGTCCAACTTTCTTCTTACTGTGACCTTTTGTTGGACACAAAAACGTTTTATATATTATCTCTCTGAAAACGACAGAGTTCCGGTTCCGGCCATGCTTTTTTTATTAGTTCCGGCCGGAACTCTGAAAAATCGGGTTTCCGGCCGGAACTAACCTGCCGGAACCGAGTTCCGGTGCACCCCTAATTAACTAATGACTATTATACTGTACAAATGATATGAAAATTTTCCTCCAATCATCCCCCTTTGGCACTGCCCCCACCCGCCTCTATGTTTTCCAAGTCCGTTTCCAAAAGTAAAGAAATATACTCAAATTCTTGTGGGTAGCCAAAAATATTTCTTTCATCAAATTAGGTTTTTTTAGGGATTTTTTAGAGCTGTCCCAAAAACTCAATCTCGAATTGAGTTTTGAAACTCGATCTTCTGACCAGAAGTTTCATTGTGGTAAAAATGAAGTTGTTTGAGTTACATTTGTGACGTGTGGGATTAAGTTTTCAGTTGGAAACCCGACGTCCTTTCGCATTTTAATATTACAAAAAAATTTAAAACATGTGTTTATCGGTCGAAAGTAATTGTTTTGATGAGAGAAATGTTTCTTGACATTTTTCAAAAAGTTTGAAATAGTTTGGGGGCACTTTTTGAATTTTTGAGAAATTTCCTGTGAATTTACCAATGCAGCATATAAATTATAAATTCTGAATAATAATTGTGTATGCCAATAAGGCAATGTGAATTCTATTGGCATGCAAAATTGTTATTCAGAATTTACAATTTCTATGCTGCATCCGATCTATATTTACCAATCAGGGGATTCTTTTGTAAATACCCACTACCCAAATATTCAGAAGTCTTTACTTTCGTGCTAAAATAGAAATCGCATTCCAGAGAATAAATTAATAAAATTATATTCAAATTTAGGCATTTTAGGGTGTGTTCTCCATCTTTCGCCGTTGCCTTGTGTAGTCCTCGCCTGTTTGTGAAAAGAAGTACTTTAATTAAAGATCAAGATACGACGCTTAAATACAGGAAAGCACAAACTCCGAAGTTAAAGACAGGATTAAGGTATGTTTTATCAATTTCATGTGAAATGTTGATATATTTTCCTGAGTGAAAAGTGGTTGAAAGTACTTGTCGAAATTTACGATCGCAAGTCGCTTTGTGTTCTACGTTTTGTGGTGGTTTATATAGATACTGAATTCAGTGGTGTAACAGAGGAACCCTTTGGCATATTTGGTGTGGGGGGCCCTGTTAACTGTTGTTATTGTTTGCATGAGATGTTATATTTAGCTATATTCCCCTCTCTATAACAATCACAGCTCCAACACAACTAGGGAGCCGATTATCTGGAGCTCTTTCAACCCAGGGGTTGAACTAACCGGTTTGAAATTTTTGTGATTACATGGATGATTTCGACCCCAGGGTTGAAATGCTATATGTCCCTAGCATTGATTCCTGGAAGTACAAAAATGGCTCCATAGCCTCCATTTTGTTTTCTTGTAACAAATAGTCACTACCACGCATGCTCGAGTAAGTAACTCATTAAAATTTTCAGCTCCGGGTTGAAACATTTACATGACAAAATTTTCAACAAAGGGCAGAGTTTTCCCTGCTGGCAGAGGTCTCTATTGGTAGGGACCTCTGCCAGCAGGGAGGGTTGAATTTCAACCCCGGGGTTGAACTCAGTCCTGTGTTGAAAATTTTGTAATGTAATTGTGTGTTTGATTTTGATAGAGTTTTGTATTACAGACAGGGTTGAAATTTCAACCCGGTCAACAGAGCTGGATTCAGCCACGGGGTTGAAAATGCTCCATGTAATCGGCCCCTAATAAGAATACCGTTTGTTTGATTTAAGATTTATTAGAAAATATGGAGATAGCGTAGCCAGGTTTAGACATAATTAAAAACATAAACGTTCTCCGACTAAAATGTTTATTTAAAACGAGCTTTCGACTACCTAACTGTAGTCTTCGACGGGTAAAGCGGAATGAATCATTCCGCTTTACCCGTCGAAGACTACAGTTAGGTAGTCGAAAGCTCGTTTTAAATAAAAATTTTAGTCAGAGAACGTTTATGTTTTTAATTAAGATTTATTATTTAGCATTATTAATTTTGCATTTTCCCATTGATTCTTAACTTGCATTTTTACATCTTCTCATTAGGACTGTTCGGTATACCGATATACCGAAAATATCGGTATTAAATCAATATCGGTATATCGATACCGGATATTCAACCATACCGATATGCCGAAATTTCGGATATACCGGAATTTTTCCGTATACCGCGTTAAATTTACCAATTATATGGCGAAACCATAAACTTTATTTTACTACTGAATGGCAATTCAAAGAACTTTCTACTGCAATCATTTAGAATTTCCACTTCAGTGAGATTTTACACTGAGTATGTGCATGTCGTTCGAAATATGTTCGAAACAGCTTCGGAATTATCGTTTTCCCTTTTAGAATTACTCAAAATTTCCTTCAAACTTCCATTAAAGAATTTTCCTTTATAATTATCAAAGGAAAACCGGTATATTGATAATATCGGTATAATTTTTTCGGTATACCGATACCGGAAATTTCTCATACCGAACATTCCTACTTCTCATTTTCTGGGCGACAGGTCGTGGCTGTTAGGGGGGGGGGGGGGGTAAC